GAAAACCTTACGCCTGCGGACCTAGACCAATGAGGCTACCACCCGGCTAGAGGGCTGAGCTACATCCCCAATGTCAAGCTCTCTCGCCCTATTGGCCCAACCCCATCCATCTCATAGCACTAGGTGGGGGTGCCCCTGGGACGAACGACCCGCGCCCTGAGAATGAGCGTGGGCGGGTCGAGCCAAGTGGGACCCGCAGTGGGGTCGACCAAGGCTCAAAAGTCCTTCAGGGTTCGGCCCCGACAAAATGGTGGAGGTGACGGGCATGGGTTAAATTGACCCATACGATCTTGAGGGGGGCGCCCGACACTTGACCGAGAACACAAACGTAAAGATAAGGAATATGGACTTGTGTGTGCTCTATCCTCTGAGAGAATCAGATTTGAGGGTGGCCGGGCGCATGGCAAGGCCAGGCCCGGAGGAAGAACATGCATGTTTGCATTTTTACTCAACCATCTTCTTTGAAGATGACTACAGTCCTCCTTCCCTTGGACTGATGTTCATCTGGCCGGGGAAGCCTTGGGCAAGCCGCAGGTCGACCCTTCCTCTTCGTGTGAAAGAAGGGCTCCGGTTACCTGGCAGGTGGTTGGGATTCCGGCCCAGTCCGGGTTCCAATGGAAATCCCTCGGCGGAGTGATCCGACCGACCTGGGTGGTTCTTTGCTTCTCTTCGGAGCCCAGTGGGCTCCGTGCACCGCACTCAAATGCTTGAAGGAACCTCATATGAACACAAGCAGTAATCGAGAAGGAACAATCTTGCCCTATGAACGGACACACAAGTGAAGATGAAGGGAATGAAGGGAGTTGCTAGACTCCAGGGAAAAACTAGCTCCCCCTTGAAGATGCTCACGAAAAGGAACCGGGCACTATGTATGGAAAACAGGGGTGAGTGGCACAGGCTGTCCTCAGAGAAAATTTGTGAGCTAAGGGTAAGAAGCTCTGGGTGCACCAGGGGAAAGACACTTCTATTATGTGTGTCCCACTTGGGGCTTGTGATTGCATGATTGGGATTTCGAGCGTCCTGCCATTTGGAAGGAAAGGATTGGTTTGCGCCGGCCGGTGCGGGATGCGAACTGGTTGTCCTCTTTGAAGTTCACCGGGTTCCGTGTGTGGGGGTTGGGCCACCGGACCGTCAGGCAAGGGTTGGTCTCGTCGGCTGATTAGTAGCATTCTCACCCGAGCGGTCCGAGCATGGTTCGATGACCTTGCCCAGGTGGGATGTGAAACCTCTTCAAGCGGGGCGGCTGCTTGTCGGTAGACGGCAGGGGGACCACTGCATGTGGGGCAAGGAAGGAGCCTGGGAGGCAATTAAGAGCATTCTCGTAGCATGGCTTAGGAAAAGTTGTTCCTTATCGGACCGATGGAAGTGAATGCCTGGACGGCTGGCTCCAATGGCCCTACCGAGATGTGCGGGGTGATTCCCGAGATTAACGGCGGGTACACGAGCGGCAAGTTGGGATGGGGTATTCTGGGTAAGGAGGAAAGGGCGAATGCCTTGCCGAGACCTGGGTACCGCGCTCGCGACAGTTGAGTTGTGCTGGAGGTTTGGGCTGAAAACCCTGTCGATAGTAACAGTGGAGAGACAATTTTTGGGAAAAACGTCGGTGAGGAGATGACCGACCTGTGTGCGACGTTTGCCTGGTTTTGCTTTTGTGCCTTCCTCTGTAAAGTTGCCTGATGAATGTTGGAAGGGGACCGAGCTTCTAAGTTTATTCTCAAGTCTGAGTCCGCACGAGAGAGAGAACATGAGGAAGAGGTTGGATAGGAGTCAGAAGAAAGTGGAACCAAGAAGAAGGAATGCGAGCCACTAGTGATCGATTGGGGGGGGGAACTGATTAGGGATGTGGCGCTGGCTGATATGCTTGGAGGATGGGCAGAGAACTTTAGGGAAACCTTGATGAGGGGTCTCTAAAACAACGCTCATCTAGGATAATGGTGGACCTAACCCGAGGGCCGATTGGTGCGCTCATTGGACGAAACAGGTCTTGGCCACGGGTATAAAGAAGGCAGGATGGCGCAGTGGCTGGCGTCACCAACCTACTCAGATGGACCATAGATGCCAATAGATGTGAAGGGTGGGGTATCAGTCGTAATACCAGAGGAAGGAACATGGACGGACCTGGAGCCGACCTATCAAACCGTAATGCTGGCCGGAAGTGATGCCTTCCTATGGATTGAAACGATGTGGACTAAGGTAACCTTGACCAGGATAACGCCGTGCCTATTTGATTTAGAGTTCCGGGGGACCGTGGAAGCCCGGGGATGGATCTACCTGTCAAAGGAGAGGGAGACTGCGATGGTTGTCGAACTCGCCTTGGGGAAACTTCCGTACAAACTGTTCAGGGAGGCCGAGCGGGAAGTAGTGTGGGCCGCGTGCCAACGAGTGGAGATGACGATGGAATCGGTTGATGTGCGGGTAGAACTTGGGGATATGGAAAACGTGCGGAAGCCATGGTGGACGCCGTCTTTGGAACCCGGAGTAGGTTGGTGCGAATATGCAGGGCCATGGCAGGATTGGGGTTGCACCAGGGAGCCCGCCAGGATTTCTTCTGACCGTCGGTCGAAATGGGACCCTTCGCGGGAAACTGGGCAAGAGAACTGGCCGAGATTTTAAACCATCTCAGCACAGACGGCCTGTTCGTCCCAAGCGACGTGCACTGGTGGATAGTTTACAGGAATGTTGCGGTAGGGGAAATCTTTCTGGAGGGTGTACGGGACCTGTGGCCTGTAGAGAATGAAAATGACTCCGAGAAGGAGGACGAGATGGAAATCGAGGAATGGGATTTCTAGGGAAAAGGGGGGGCTGAGGACGGAGTGGTTGGGTCGCATGGGGGTGTGCAGGGAATCAAGGATGGCAAGGGAGCAAAGCTTGTGGGTGAGAATGTTTAGAGGATGGACACCTAGGAGGGTTGAGGGTGGGGTAGAGATGGTCTTGCCAACAAGGAACAAGTGGCGCGGCGCGGCCTGTGACTGGGTGGGAGTAGAGATGGTACCGACTATGTCCTTTTTGTGGGAAGAACGGGTGTGGGATCCGGTGCGAGAAAATGAGGCGTGGGATGAAATAGCCGAGGGGAACGTGGAAGCACTTGGGACGGTGTGCCTTTCGAAGAATGGGTGGTATATGTTTTGCACACACCTAGCGGCGGGACGAGACCCGATGTGGATTTTAGAGGATGTCGAGTGGTTAACTTGGGAAATGGGGCATGATTTTACAAATGAGGGGTGGGATGAAATGGGAAGCAGGGTCGTGATGGGGGGATGGGAGGACCTTAGGCTCCCCTACCAGTTAGTCCAGGGGAGGGTGCCGCATGTTGTTGCAGACTGGTTCGGAGGGTACGAACATATCCGCGCCGTAGCGGAATCCATGGACGAGGGAGAGATAGGCTTCGCCTGGTTATCAGACGCTCATTACGAGGCGTCATTGCGATTCGGACCGTTTCACGGGGACCAAGCTGAGGAAGTGGTCGAGATCTTGAAGGAACATAAGGACTACCGACTAGAGGTGGGAGAGGAAGTCGAGGAGGCGATACTCCGTCGGGAAATAGCCGCCACGCCCTCGTATGTAGGGGATGTCTTCTTG